TTGTCACCTTTACCAGATTTTTATCCTCTGTTGTAGAAATGTGCGGTTTAATGTTGCGTTTCAAATCATTTTTGGCTGAAAAAGTGTGTAATGGAATCAGGGTGTCCCCTGAATACTCCTAACAGTAGGAGATGCCTCTTTGTTTTGAACACCAGAATCCCAATAGACCCATGACAGCAGTGAAATTACACTTTTGACCTTGTTCACTAAAGTGTTTCTTTCTCTGTATGATTAAATGAGAGTAACCAACAATAGCTTCCTCTGAAATGTATGAGCTTTCCTCCGTTTGTTTCTCATAAGAAACTCAGAAAGGATGCTGTGCAATTCTCAGCTGATTGCGTTCTCCACAAAAGGAAAAAAAAAAAAAGGTAAAAAAAACCAAACAAACAAACCCTGCTTGATTCAAGGAGAGGTGGCTGTTTTATCCATATTAAAAATGCAAAAGCAATTGATATATTGATATTTTCCTTAAGCCAGTGTTGTTGCTACATCCTGAGTGTGACAGCAGCAGTACAACACAGTGGCAGATTTTTACCCTTCTGTTGCTTCGTTTAACGCATATTTTTAAAAGAGGATAGATACTAAAGCACCAAATATAGTTTTAAAGTCTATATTCAGATTCAATACAATAACCATATACTTGAGGTTCTCTGAGACTTTAGCTGATCATCATGGACTACTTAGTTATGTCAATCCAAAAGATAAATGTAGTACTTTCTGTAGATTTACATGAAACTCCTGGTGTTTCTTTTCCTTTACGTGTGACTGCGTGGACATAGCCCGCTGCAGGATTTGCTGCGACTGCCAGTCTTGCCTCACGCACCGAGGCACTGGCACATCTCTTGCTCCACGTGTACTTGTTCAGGACGCGGCTTCTCTGGGTCAGAAAAACTGAGTGAGGTGGCCAGAAGAGAGATACAAAATCAGATTCTTGTTTCTTCCATTTTATGCTACTTCAGCTGTGTTTTGGGGACTTTTCCCCAAAATGTTCCTGTTTTCTGTGAATATTTACCAGCTCTGGATTAGTGAACATACTTTCTTTGTCATGCAGAGCACATATCTGTGAAACGCAAGGACAAGTACAATCCTGTAGTTTGGGTGGGTGGGGAGTTAGATAGCTGGGTTCAAAAGAGGGGAGAGGACTCAGGGAAATCCATAGTTTGCTTTTAGAAGGGATCAAATTAAGTGACTGAATGGCCTCCATGGCCTCAAGACTTGAGTGGTTTCTCCTGTTTGTTTGCACGCTGTGGATGATGCTGCATGGAGAGGGCATCAAGAGTCGTAGAGTGTGGAGGGCAATGCACCCAGGGAGCTGCAAATCTGTGACTCCCAATTTCCTATCCTGTTAAAAAAACTTTTGTTTTTTAATTACTACTTCATTGGTGATATAAATTAATGATTGGTATGGGTCTGAAGCAACCTTGTCATCAGAATATTTGGTTAGTGTTGACATACTTGTTCCCTGCAAACATGAATCATCTGTCTGCCTTTGGCAGGCTCACCCTGTGGCTCTGCTATAATGTGTTTCGCCAGTGTGGCTGAAATTAAAATGTCACTATTAAACATGGCAGAATCAGATGCTCTCTGGGCACTGCATCTCTTCGAGTTCTTCTTGCTTCCTATGTAGCTATTTCTGACAGTTTAATAGGACAGCTGTATCCTGGTATAAAAATAATACATTCATATTTCCACAATGCACGGGGAGCTAAATGCTTTCAGAGCACTATTTCATTGTGTACATGCATCTTTCATGCGCAGCAGAAGCAGTAACGCTCACGTAACGCCATGTTGCTGCTTAGTCCATTAGGAAGCGTGAAGTCAAAATTAATTGTCCTGCAGGACCGTATAGAGTGCGTCTCTAAAAGCAGTTGCTGGGCTGTGTGCAGCCGCTGCGTCAGCCAGGCTCCCTCCTCGTGAGGAGTTATTGACTTTGGGCTATTGAATTCAGGGCTCTGGAGGTTGCTCGGTGGGAAAAGCCTTCAGTTGGTGCCTGGCAGCTCTGTCACTGCGAGGTCACGGAAAGGACAGTTCAGTCTCCAGACCCAGTTAGGGCCTGATTCAGCACCTCTTCAATCACGGGGGAAAATCCCTCCGAGCAGGGTGGCTTTCGCACCCAGCCTGTCCAGTGAGATGGCCGATGAATGTGTCTGGTTTTGTCACTTGGGCCATCAGAAGTACCCTTTGCTGTCATGAAATGACCAAGCAGCTAGTGCGGAAAGGTAAAGATCCTGGTAAGAGGAAAATGAGCCCACCACAGCTGAATTCAGACCAGTGACCTGTACATGTGCATTTGAGTCCCTCCCCTTACTCATATCTAGAGCTGTCTAATTCCTCGGATCAAATCATTTGACTCTTACGAGCAGCTGTAACTTTCAAGTTGAATAAAGCCCAACTGCTGAAAATATCAATGAAAAAAATAAAACTGAGGCTCTCTTTATCAGATATCAACAACATTGCTTTAATTCCCCCCGTCCAAAGATTTCTTTTTTTTCTTTTATTTTTTTTTTTTTTGTGTGTGCTGGGTTGTGCTTTTCATCCCAGGTAGCTGCGATTTCTGGTGAAAAGAAGTTAAGCCATGAAAGGTTGACTTACTTGCCTCTGAATTGCTTTTTATATGATGTGAGTCCCTCGGGGCCCAATTCTACCCATGGAAGTGAGAATGATAGCTATCAACATATATAGGAATTGTGTCAGTGTGTACAAAGAAAAAGGTGAACCTCAGCCTCGTCTGAGTGGTCTTTAAAATACAGATTTCCTGTGAAATGGTGATTAAAGGGGAAGCAAAGGATAATTAGAAAATTAGCCTGACGTGCTAGCAGTTATAGCAATGTGTGGTTTTGTATTAGCTCTTTCAGACAAGCACGAGATCAGTAGATCCCTTATGACTCTCTTAAACTAATGTGTAAAATTTGGTTAGTGTCTGATCAGCTCCTTTGATCAGTCTAGTCTAGACTGTTGCCAGAGTACTTACTTGATACTAAACCCACAGTCCCCTTAAATGTAGGCCTACTTAAGTGAGTCAAATTACATACGAAAAGGTTATAAAAACTGTCCACTGTCTTTGAGTAAATGAGTCTCTGGTGCAAAGCCACATACCTTAGGAACTGCAAAAATAAAAGCAAAGGTGTTGTTGCAGAAAAGAGATGGTAGAGTTCTTAATTCATTTGTGAATGACTGTCTCGGAAATCAAAAAGAAAAATTTCCAACAAACCTTTATTATTTTTAATTGGACCAGCATTTTTGTAAGTCTGTAATGTATTAAGGTGCCCTGAAGGGGGAAAAAAAATCCATCAAAAATTCTGCACCAATTTCTCTCGAGAAGTTAATGAGTTATAACCACCGTGTCTGTCTAGTTTCAAGCACACAATATTGGTTTTAATTGTAGCAGTGGAGGGCCAGTAGGAGCCTTCAGTATGTAGGTTGCACTCTTACCACCTCTAATTTCTACACAGGATTATTTGCAAGGGAGTGCTGGAAGTCGAGAACCAGTAAATTTGTTATCTGTCAGAGCAGAGCTGTTTTCCCCTCATCACCAGAGCCTTTTCCCACCTCTGCCATTGTAGCACCATCCTGTACCTGTCTGTTCTTTGCCACATGAATCTCAGACATGTAAAGAGTTCCTTTCGTCTTTGGTAATGGTCCTTCCTTTTGCATACTAGCAATAGGAGGTGATAATTCGGAGGCAATTTTAGTCCAATATCATATCCAGAAGATTTGGGAAGCTATCCAGTGCCACTAATTTTACAAAGCTGGCTTGTACCCGGGTTGGTTTTCTCAAGATAGCTATGTTTTGAATTTAGAGGTTAAGTTTTCAGTCTTTGTGTGCCTACCGTATTTGTTGGCTGTATTGCAGTGCCATCAGAATACCTGGCATAGAAGCAATGCCAGCAAATTGACCAAAGGATTAAGAGAAGTAAGCTAACACATAAATATCACATCAACAGGATGAAAAGCTCACAGAAAGGAGACCATTTAAAACATATAGAAACTGGAATCCAAGTAACAGTTGCTTGTTTTATCTATACCAAATTCTGTGCAAATTCAAATGGAGAGCTGGTACACTGCTACTGTCCAAACACTGAATTAATTTACTGGTGATTGAGAAGAGGTCCAAAACAGGCATTAAAATCTTTGGGATGATACGTAGTTCATCCAGCTCTTCGAAGGCGCCAGGCATTACTCTACTTGCAGAACTGCGTAAATAACGGAAAGGTAAAAGAACGCAATTCTGTGAGTGAACACATGACCACAGAACGTGGTAGGAATACTGGGTAAATTCTTCCCTCTCGTGACTGTGTTTCAGCCGGTGGCATTACACCGGGAAGAATCAGAGTGTGTTCTGCATGCAGTGTAGCAGATTGTTAAGAGGCAACAGGCCGGTGTTTGAGAGAATTTCCTCTCTGCTGTCTGCAGAAGTGTATGAGAAATCTCCTGGCTGATCTATAGACATTCCGTTACCTGTTGTCTTTTGGCAGGTAACTGGTTAAATTTGTGTTAAACAGGATTTGCTTTGCTGTTTCCATTTGGTGTTGGAGTAGAAATGGTTTGACATGACATATGACCGATCAATAATTGGAAAGTGCTTGCATGAGTCATTTGAAGCCAGTAGTTTAGACAGTGTCAGCCACAGCTGGGATTAAAACCTGCAAAGAGTTGTTCTGCAGTCAGTGATTCTGCAGCATCTCCTCTGGGTGTCTGCATTTCACTTAATAAGGATACCCTGTAGACATCAACTGAAATAACTCTTGCCTTTGTTGCTTGGATGTTTTTGTGAGCTCTGAAATGAACTTGGCATATACAAATATACTTTGTTATCTAGCCTAAAGGATGCAGGGCAGGAATTATTATCCTGTTCTGCTGACAACTTCAGTAGAAAAGAAATAGCTTTATTTTACTGTGGCTCTGAAGAGAATAAGAGTGTGACTGTACTCTGTGGTTTTCTGGGTATATTTTACCTTCCCCCCCCTCCCCGTACTGATGATGTTTTATTACTATTACAGGGCTATAATAATCCGAAACGGTGAAGTCATTCCAATGTCTTCAGAATTCACTCCAGAGACCGAACGCCAGCGACTTCAGTATCTGGTAAGAGACCCGAGGACCAAATGAGGTACTGCTGATGACAAGCATTGCCCAGTAATATCTAAGGTTCAGACACATGCCACTGACTTACTGTGGCTCAGTGAAGGACCACGTGTCTGCTGAACACCAGTGACTGACTATGTGTGTCTTTTAGCCATCAGCAAATGAGGAGAAAAGCCTGGTGGTGCAAATCCCAATGAAAGGAGTCTTACCTCTTTTGTGAAGGCCATCTATTAGCATGGCTGTGCTTGTGTACCTTGTTCAGCTGCAGACCTTCAGCAGCTCATTGATGTTGGGTAATGAGAGCTCAGACACAGAGCTAACAAGCCACAGAGGTATTTCAATCCATCACAGTGTTTACCACGTGACAGTATAAAATACCACAGACTGCACTCCGTGTGTGTGTGTGAATATTGCAGGGTTTTATTCGTTTGCTCTAGTAGTATGCCAACAGTATCTCAATCAGGGAAAAGATACCCAATTTAGAGGTGATGTTGGGTAATGAGAGCTCAGACACAGAGCTAACAAGCCACAGAGGTATTTCAATCCATCACAGTGTTTACCACGTGACAGTATAAAATACCACAGACTGCACTCCGTGTGTGTGTGTGAATATTGCAGGGTTTTATTGTTCAGTAGTATGCCAACAGTATCTCAGTCAGGGAAAAGATACCCAACTTAGAGGTGATCTCAGTGAGCATTAGTAGCTGCAGGCTAGGATGAGTGAAGAAAGTCTAGTTTTATTTAGTGTAACAGCACCCATAAAGCTGGGGCAGGGTGACTAGCTAAGGACATGTGGGATGCTTTATACACCAAGTTGTGTTGACTAATAAGCTGCTGAAGAAACTAAGTCAAAATGCATGGTGGTGTTTTTCGTGCAAACAGTCCTGTTAATTTTTAAGTTTTTCATCAATGGTCAGATCAGTTGGTTGAAGCTGGTTGGCTGTTTGTCAAAATGTCATTCCTAACGTGGAATTTCTTTTGTGCTTCTGTTCTCCTTCTTTTGTTTCTTAGAAATTTAAGCTTAAGCCAAGGCAGGTGCACTGTCAGCTTTGCCTGATGTGAGGTGGACAGGCCAAGGGTAATGGCATTGCCTGGTCTTAAGGTGTCTCTTATCTTTAGCCTGACCTAAGCACTGTGGTTTAAAACTAGGCAAAATGCCAGTGGTTGAAGGCAGGAGTGGAAAGTTTTAAAGAAAAAATGTAAATGTTTCCACAATTGTCATGTTTGATTTTTAGTCAGGTTCACTGGCTTGAAGCTGAAAATTTCAGAGGAAATACTGCTTTGGGAATATTCGTATTCAGACAACCAAATGGAAGAGAGGCCTAATAAATATTTACAGTTCAGTTACATTTAAAATAATTTGTTTGCCATTAAAATAAAAGGTATCTTTAGTATCTAGGGAGTCTGCTACTTCTGTAGGAAATACGAGATAAAGCATTGCCTACAAGGGATTTTTTTTCTCTTTTGATGTCCTTTCTGGCTTATATTTGAAAACAACAGCTATTCTGAAAAGCATTTCTGCTGTTTCCTTTGGAAAATTCCTTTACCTTTGTTTGTTTATTTTAATTTGTATGTAACAAATATGCCAGGTCTACGGGTATCATGTTCAAAGAAAATACGGGCAAGAGAGCAAGAGCGTGAAACAAAATTAGAGATAATTTCAAACATAACATTCCGTAAGTAACATTTTTTACTCTAGTGTTTTTAAAAAAAAAAAAAAAAAAGACGACACCAAATTTCTTAAAAGGTTGGCATAAACCTTACACTCCGAAGGTTGCATCTGTCTTGCTGATTAGATCCCAAATAATTCTCCTTACCTTGACTGTCCCCAGGATCTGCTATCAGTCCATTACACCATCAACATCTCTCTCCTGCTGTTGTTATCTGAAAGTTACTTACTTGGATTTATTTTCTTATTTGCAGTTAAAGCTGAGTTTCTTTGTCTCAAACATGTTGCATTGCTCTTCCTGCGCAATAGGAAGAAAATCACTTAATTTTAGCATTAATATTTTATTTGGTAAGTGCAGAGATACTGTTTGCTGTGGGGAAGTTACTGCACAGGCAAAGGGAGGGTATGGATTTACAGCCTGCAGGCTACTGAGCGTTGATTCCCTGTGCAGTAGATGCTGTTAGCACGGTCAGGGTGAAGGAGCTTTCCTCTGCCTTTAGTGCCTATTGATTGCTTCAGCCACACAGGACATTGGTGTAGGTCCTCTTTTCTGGGCTCTCATTTCCATGCGCAAAGAGATCTGCAGGATAAGGAGTTGTTCAGGTCATGCGAGCATCTCTGCATGTAATCTTGGACAAACTGTGCTTCAGCTAGTACTGGTTGAGTAACTGAGGCGGAGGGGGGAAACAAATGTTTTCCCTATCCAACTTCCGTTTTAGTGCAGGTTTGTTGCTGTGTATCCAAGAATGGTTTTGAGTATAGGCCTCTGGCATGGCAACCTCAAAAGAACAAGTTGACCATGAGCCAGCAACGTGCCCTCGTGGCCAGGAAGGCCAGTGGTGTCTTGGGGTGCATGAGGAAGAGTATGGCCAGCAGGTCGAAGGAGGTTCTTCTCCCCTTCTCACCTGCCCTGGCGAGACAAGATTGGGAACACTGTGTCCAGTTCTGGGCTTCCCAGTCCAAAAAAGACAAGGAGCTACTGGAGAGAGTCCAGTGGAGGGCAGCAAAGATGATGAGGGGACTGGAGCATCTCCCTGATGAGGAAAGACTGAGGGGTCTGGGTCTATTCAGCCTGGAGAAGAGCAGACTGAGAGGGGATCTCATCAGTGCTTATAAGTATCTTCAGGGCGAGTGTCAAGAGGACGGGGCCAGACTCTTTCCAGTGGTGCCCAGCGACAGGTTAAGGGGCAACGGGCACAAACTGAAACACGGGAAGTTCCATCTGAAGGTGAGGAAGAACTTCTGTTCTGTGAGGGTGGCAGAGCCCTGGCACAGGCTGTCCAGAGAGGCTGGGGGGTCTCCTTCTCCGGAGATGTTCAAAACCTGCCC